GACAGTGGCACGTATTTATTACGTTAGTACAGGCAAGTATTGCTGTGTTTTTATTACGCTGCTTGAGGTACGTATTGCGGCTGTTCAGAATTCAAATATCCGAGGAGTGTTGCTAGAGGTTAATGCTCTATGGTGTTGGAAATATCCCCTACACCAAACCCAACCCTAAACCGACCCGATAGTGTTAACAAATGCAAAAGTGATTTGTTGATGCAGCCATGCTTTTTTAACTTCCTTATGCGGATTTGAGCTGTTTTGTTGAACCGTAGTTTCACAGGATTCGTACCGGAGTTCTTCATCGCTCAAACGCAACAAGCTACTGAGCAAACCTACTGAATTAGATATCTCATGCATATGTATGAAGCTGTATATGTTACGACAACGTTCCAAAGTATTAGTTTTCAAATCGCGCAGGATGTTAAAATTGCTTTGAAGTCATACCATAATATTCTGCAAGTAATTGTGTGAAAATTAGGCTTTATTAATCAAAACTTTGTTCCTGTAAATCATACTTTGTGTGAAAAGGAATAAAATTTGTCAGAGTTTTACTGCCTCTAGTGTTCATTTCAACTGGAAATTGCAGTGGTTCGTACACAGGCTATAGGTATATTTTTCTCAGTTTTGCAAAAATGTATATAGAGGCACGTATTTCCAATGAGCCTAGGTTGTCACAAACTTATTAACACATGATCAACTGTCTTAAGTTCAACCTTTCCGCCATGTTCCAGTTATTGCAAGATAAAAGCACAGGTTTCTCGTTTTGGAAATCCCCACTTAGGTGACTCTTATAGTGGGGATTTTTTAATTTGAAGGGGGAGGGAGGCATTTGTTCAGACATATTTATAAAAAATGACAATTATGTCTTCTAAATGATTCCTTACATTATTTATGTTTTTACAATTTATATAATTGTGTTGATTCATATTTATGTTGTTAGGAAAATACAAACAATTTGCAAAATTGTATATGGTGGAATAGGGTAATTTCAATTCACATAACTTACACAGCTCAAGAAAGCTTGATTTCAAACTTTAAATTGAATTTATTGTAGCTTTTCTTATTTTAGTTTAAGTGTAATAAATTGTGAAAAATAACTCAATTTGGTACTTGCTAGCAGTTAAAGAGTTAGCTCTGTGTGAGTGCGGTTTGGGTGTGAGAGCTCAGAAAAGAGCATGCGAGTACCGCATTGAGTTCACTTGAAAAGAGAAAATGTGACTGCGCTGAATCATTCACGTTTGTGAAATTACAGTGTTACGGAACATTTTCACAGTACTATTTTGATATGATAATCTGTGTGAGCTAATTTACTCATTCAACCTACATGCTTTAGAAATGTTTGTGGGAATTTCCTGCATTATAAGCTGGGAATCTACAGGAATTGGTAAAATTATGCACAACACCCACGCCGAAATTCAAGCCCTGAAGTATTTTCATTATTTTATGGGACCACAAGTAACGTCTCGCTTACGTGTGTAACCCTCGTTCCCTGGTGACCGATGAATTGGGATCTCGCTTAGAGAGACCAATCCACTTCGAGTGTAAACTAAACGAGCCAATGCACATTGTTTGTGGGAATTTCCTGCATTATAAGCTGGGAATCTACAGGAATTGGTAAAATTATGCACAACACCCACGCCGAAATTCAAGCCCTGAAGTATTTTCATTATTTTATGGGACCACAAGTAACGTCTCGGTTACGTGTGTAACCCTCGTTCCCTGATGACCGATGAATTGGGATCTCGCTTAGAGAGACCAATCCACTTCGAATGTAAACTAAACGAGCTAATGCACATTGGCATGCGATGATTGCATCCAGCTGCCGCTGATCACAGAGTGAGCATAAAAAGGCAGTAGGTGCAACGCATACCAGGTTTTCGCTGAGGAGCCGAGCCAGTAACACGGCCGCTCAGCAGTATAACATTGGGAAAACGTACCCGTTCCACTTGGAACAGGAACGTTGCGGATGCCCCATCCTTCCCGAAGGAGGTTTCGGAAGCACTTACACATATGACATCCGTTTAGGTGCATACGGAAGATTAGAGGTGATTGTAACCCTCATGGAAATGGCAGAAGTCTGCAAAACTTCCGGATCATGACCACCCTCGTGCAGGTACCTCAGTGCCTTGGCCTGATGAACCTGCAGTAACGCCGTAGCGTGTAAGGCGGGGGCAGCTTCTCCACAGGCCGTATAAGCATCGCCGGACAGGCCAGACGAGTACCTACAGACCCAGGAGGGGAGGCACAGTTTGTGCAGCCTGAAGTGCGCAACCCACTCTACACAGGAACGACCACCGGTGAAGTGCCGTCCGCCAACACAAAAAACTCCAGAGAGCACGCTAGAATCGTCACACACGAAGCAGTTTGGTAGGAGCAGAACGATGTTGTCGCTCGGCTCCGAAGCGAAAAGCTGGTATGCGTTGCACCGACTGCCTTTTTATGCTCATGCTGTGATCAGCAGCAGCTGGATGCAATCATCGCATGCCAATGTGCATTGGCTCGTTTAGTTTACACTCGAAGTGGATTGGTCTCTCTAAGCGAGATCCCAATTCGTCGGTCACCGACGTGACTCGGAGTGACCGACTGAAAGGGAACTGTATGGCTTAATTTAGGTTTATTTTATGAATTGTAGCCTATACATTACATTTTTTTTATATTTTGATGTTTATTTAATGTTTGGAAAATGACAATTGTACAGATCAGGGTTGTAAATTAGATTTAAACATGTCCAACAGTTTGTTTTCAGAACTTGTTTGCAAACTGCAAAAATTACAAACTCTATATAAAATGAATATAACAATAATGCTAATTTTCTTTGACCTCCTGAGCATGATGATCAACATTTTCTAAAGGTTAAAGCTCTCTTTTTCACTGACCAATCTTGTTTCATTGACATGGAAAGTGCCTTTTTATTCCACAAGAAGTGAAATGGACTCATCCTATCATACTAAGGACACACACATTCACAGTTTGAATATTTCCATGTCAAAGTTGAAGCGCAGAACTGAACCATCCCGATTGTTTCACGTGTTCTTGCTTTATCACTAAGTTTTTGGGATGTCATTGAGTTGCTCGTTATATAACCTTACGCAATTTAGAGAAAGATCAAATAGAAGACCAGATTTCACCAGCTTTCCTTACGAACCCAAATATGCCCTCTCAGCACTGATAACACTGCAAAGTCAGAGATGCACTATGCAACACCAACCTCGACCTTAAAGGGCTTTCAGTACTAACTGCAATTACAGCACGTTAATTATTTAAACATTTTCATTTAATAAACACGCGTTGATGAACACAGGCATGAAATCAGTATATTTATTGCCAAAATTAGATTCTATATTTATCTCTTTATTTCGTTGCTAAGGTTCTTTTGTGGAAATATATCAAAAAATATAGATGGACTTTTCTCTCAGTCCATCTATGATGCACCATAAGGCTGTTTTTATGCTTTAATATCAGGTGATTTTTGTATTCATATTACGACTGTATCTCAGCTCTGCTCATCGGCTGCTGCAGGTTAGCTGCATGAATCATTCATGCTGATACTAATATTATGGTGCTCATAGGGCCTACAATATTAGCTTGTGGACCAACATTATTAGCTTCTGGACTCGTCTGTTGCTCCTCCACCCCAGTAAACACACACACACACCTAAACACCATCATTATCTCAGTGTTGATGCTGCAAACTGATGAATATTTGATTCTGCTTCATCTTCTGTGTCTGTGTGAGTGTGCCCAGATATGTGAAAGTGCATGCATTTGTGTGTGTGTGTATGTATGTGTGAACCTAATGGTAAAGAGATTTCTTTCTGCATTTTTGCGTTTAGTGCACAAGTCTTACTAGAATGCCTTGAGGGAAGGATGGTGGGCTTTGCTGGGGAGGTGGGCTGGGTGCTGAAACAAGCAAAAGCCTTCGTATTACCTTTTAAAGACAATCAATTATCGTGACCTGCTCTTCCTCCCTGTGGGGGGTTCCACCTCTCCTCGAGAGCGGGCCAGGCGGCTTCGACATATGAGTCAGTGTTTGGAAGTGACAGGGCATTAGTAGTAGCCCACCAACTCATCAGAGCGCCTCTACAATCTCCAGTGTCAATGGAGCAGTCACATAAGAAATAGGGAGGCAAGCAGCCCCCACATACTCTATTACGTCGCTAATGAGTTTACTGGTGATATGCTTTCAGTCCACAAATGTCATGCTGGTGAATGTGAGTTTCATCAGAAATGCAAGTCAACAGAACACAGTGAGGCTGCGTTCAAGCACAACCTACTGATAATTCAAGTCCTCCAGTTGGATTTGTAGTGGATTCGTAGTTGATCTCTTTTGGATTGTGAATTAATAAGATTGTTTATTAATTATTACTGCAGTCTTCAGCATCACATGATGCTTCAGAAATCAATCTAATATGCTGATTTGATGCTCAAGAAACATTTCTTATTATCAATGCTGAATAAAGCTCCGCAATATTTTTGTGGAATCAGTGACACTTTTATAAAGAATTTTTCTATGGATAGAAAGTTGCATAGAAAGGATAGAAAGAGCAACATTTATGAGAAATACAAATCTTTTTTGTCATTATAAATGTCTTTGATGTCTCTTTTGATCAATTTAATGTTTTTGCAGATTAAAAGTTTTTTTTTTAATCCTACTAACTTGCACTTTACTTTATATTGTGGTATACAGTAATAAATAGAGTTTGTGTGTTTATGCATAAGGATGTACTGTACAGCAGGTCTTGGGATGACATCCAAATTTCAATAGTCAACACCATTAGAATTTCATCATTATTAATACCAGTTTTTGATGTGAAATATGAATGTACAATAAAGTGTAAAATACAGTAACTTTAATATATTTTTATATTGCTGCAAAAAGTTTAGAAAATGGCAACTCAAAACAGGATGAGCAAATGATCATAACTTGTATTGGAGCATGTGTAATGTACAAAATGTAAATGAAGACTAGAATTGAGGCCTTGTTTCTTTTTTTTCCTTTTTAGCAGTGGATTTGCAAGGCTGCAGTCCACACACCCGGTTCATAGTCCCTCCGAAAACCACACACTGGGTGGCCATTATGCAGAGAGGGAAGTGCACCTTCAAGGAGAAGATCCTTAATGCAGCTGCTTTCAATGCCTCGGCTGTCATTATCTACAATAACAGCACCAAAGAGGACACAGTCACGATGGCTCATGAAGGTGAGCGCCATAATCAATGTATTCTCATCATGACTAATGCAACTCTCTCCTTCTAATCTGTGCCATGTACGTAGTGTCATGCAGACTTTTCTAACTTCTGTAGTCAGTTCCTTTAGATAGGACTCCAAGCTTGTAACTGTTAGTAATTTTAACACTACATGTTAACATGCAGGAGTTTTGTTCAGAGTGTATGTACATGTAAATGGATATTTTTATTTGACTGAAGGAATCAATTGTGTTGGTTGAAAATATAGGAAGTGGTAGCTGATATTTTATGATGGAGCAGATACACCTGACCAGTTACTTTAAGGTCTTTGTAGTGCTTGCAGCAGATTTTAATGCAGTGAGGTACATTATCTGGAAAAATCATTGTCCAAGAACTAAATGGGAGAGTGTGTACCGTGTGTGTGTGTTTGTGTGTGTGTCAGTGCAATAGAGAAACAGTTTTATTTTGCAGCTCCAAAATGTGTAAAACGTTTGTGTGTGTGTGTGTGTGTGTGTGTGTGTGCGTCTGTCACTTAAAAGAGTTTTGTGCAGTGGACAGCAGACAGTTTGAGGGAAAATGTTGCTGTGATCAGCAAAAATTTATTTTTATTATTATTTATTAATTTATTTTTTAAAGCATTTTGGTAAAAGCAACAGCTGACACAGTAATTTTAATGGCCATTACATTCCATTAATGTTTACTAAACAGACCACACAGATGGTAACCGGACATGAGATAACCGCACCACAATACATCAAGCTACATATAATACATTATGGATTGTTTATTATGAATTATGCAAGTGTATATAATACTTGCATGTAACATTAATCATGCTTTTGAAATGTAGTCCTGTCAGATAGTAGATCAAATTGTAAGACGCAGTTTATTTAATATTATTTTGAGTATTGCCGTATCTAACAGCGATGTCATTAGTTGAACTATTTTAAAGAAAATGACACCTGTTCAGAATATATGATTATTCTTAATTTTACAACTAAATTGTCATTCTGTCTGAGGTAGACTTACTCAGTTTTTTTTTTAAACTGTTGATCTGTGTATACAGTGGGTACGGAAAGTATTCAGACCCCCTTAAATTTTTCACTCTTTGTTATATTGCAGCCATTTGC